GCAGAATATATTTATTGAGAGAAAGAAAGCTCCTGTCCAAGAGAGAGACAGGAGGGGGGCCCAAGCGGGTAGTTCCCCGGGAAGCTGTCTCTTCCAGGGATTTTTATAGTGTAAAACCATGCGGGGCTAAGGTAGAGAGAATGGGAACTCGCTTAGGTGGGCAGGAGGTGGGACAAAACTATGGTCAACCAAAGGGATTACAAACACCATTGCTCAGGTAAAACTGATTAAATCCAGTATCAAATGGGAAAGTGAGTAACGTAGCAAGCAGGCATGAATACGGAACAGGGTCTCTTCCTGTTGGGGATTGGGCTAGTGCTCTTTCAAGTTGACTGATACTACTTAGAATATCAATCCCTAATGCCCATCCCTAGGGTATTATGTAACTGTGCTTCCTCTTGTCTTGGTCTTGAGGTGTGGCCTACATAGGAGTGTCTGTCTCTTCCAAGTCGCAAAGTCACCTTGTCTTCCATCTTGTTGCCTTGAGGGCCTGGCCCTGTCTGACTGCCTATAATATTTCTGTCTAACTCGGCTGCCTACAACAATACAACTACAGCATAATCCAGTAATCCCACTACTGATATCCAATGGAAACGAAATCAGTATATTTGAGTGAAATCTACACTCCTGTGTTCTTTATAGCATTGGTCACAAAGGTCAAGTTATGGAAACAACATAAATATCAAGTAGGCTTTTTCCTGTGTTGTCTGTGAGGAATTTTATGATTTCAGTTTTTTTACTTAAATCACTGACCAACTTTGAGTTAATTTTTGTACGTGGTGTAAGATAATCTATTCAGAAATGTATGAGCCATCCCTTTTTCACAGGGATCTTCACTTTTCCCAAAACCATTTAGCCAAGAGAACAGCCTTTCCTGTGGTGGGTTCTTGGGTGAATAGACTGTACAGGAGTGGACATAATTTCAGCCTCGCTACTCTGTGCCTCGGATTTTGAGAATAAAGTCTTCTTTTTGTTATGGCGTAAGTGGTTTTCTATTGCCTTTTAATTCTCTATTTGACTCAATGTTACCTGGGATTGTGATTCTTAATTTATAAGATTTTTGATCAACATTTAGTATGTATGTATGTATGTATGTATTTTAACAGTACTGGAGATTGAACTCAGGTCCCTGTGCTTACCGGGCAGGCATTTACTCCACTGAGCTATCTCCCTGGCCCTGTTTTATATTTTAACATAATAATGTGACCTATACATATCTGGTTTTTGATGTTGAGATGTTTTTAT